TGCACGAAAGAAAGTGCCTCCGAGGTAAATGTGAAATTTCAATAATGGTGTCATCTTATCCATTGATTCTCAAAAATCGATGTCCTGTCCACCTTTTTAGCTGCTGTGCAATGTTCTCGAATTTATTTCCGACTGTCGATCGGCTCTAAACCATGTCAGCCAAAAGAAATTGTTTCCTTATAAGATTTGTGATCCTCGAGTATATATATATACATATTGATTTATTCTATTTACCATCGGGTTGAGTTTCGTTCGATGTTCTTCTCAGGATAATCGTTTCACTTTTTTACCAAGATGTTCAGTTCAAACTTACCCGAAGACCTGATCGTTCAATTTCATGTCGAAGGATCGTACATAGTGAACTCGGTGTATGCCCTTCAATTTCACTCATCATTACCGCAACAAAAACACGGTGGCATTCTGGGAACACACAAGCAACCTTTAAAAGTGTGGTATCCTTGTACCATGATGCTAACAAAAGAAATCGATCATCTTTTTTCCACAAACGATTTAATCACTGATTCCTTAATCACGCTCATGATCATCTTTAAAGTCAATATAAGGACAAGTACGTTTCTATATTAGGCGAGGTTACGGTCAAATCTCAAGATCCAAAATTAGCCGAAGTCACCGAGAGTTTGAAAAAACTAGAAAAGGATTGCATTGCGTGGAAAAGTAAAATTTCATTATTTTGAATGCTCATTAAAAGTTATGAATCTTATTGGGGAGGGAAAGTCCCCTCGGCAAAGTAGAGAGCGTCACATTTTCACGAAAGAGATTTGTTCAAACCAAATATACAACGATTTCACAATTTCGAATGATGCGGGTGAATTATTATATGTATATTTTATGCATGATATAGTATAAACTGAAGTTAATAATGTAAGGTATCTCTAAAAGTTGGAGCTAGATTTAAAACGCCGCCCGGCCAAAAAAAATACATTAAAGTAGACAAAAAAAAGAAATCTATCCGTCCAGTGTTCTACCCCCACACATCATAATTATCATGACTATTGTTATTATTACCACTGGAGGATTTTATATTGCTGAAAAGGTTAACTTGCTTAAAACTCATTGTGTTGGATAACTTCTTACTGGATTTGGTTTTCACGCTCGCCGTGTCCGTGTTACTGTCATCGTTATCATCTTGTGTGATTTGATACCTGGGAGCGACAACCGTGTAATCATTTGAGCCCTTGGTTCGTTCTGGTTTCACCGATTTTGAGAGATTAATTGAACTGAAGGTTGGCGTAAATCCATCTCGCGGCGAGGACGGTAAGGTCAATAAACGCGAACGTTGAGTGCTCGATGATAGATAGGACTTTTGTGAGTACTGTGAGATCGAAGAATGTGATTGCACGAATTTTCGATCCACCACCGGTGTTAAAACCAAGGCCGGTGAAGATGGCGTGCTCGGGAAGTGCGGAGTTGTTACCATGGCTGACGATAAAGTATATTGGGCAGCCGCTCGCGATTTCGGATCGGTTTGAAGGTGCGAAGCACTTGAATCTTCCGAGTAATCGCCGCCTATATTTCCGAGGACTGTCGCACGCTCATCTTCATCCCAATAATCTCCGTAGGTAACAATGACATCGTTCAGTATCGATCCGTTACCATTTGCGGAACCATCCGAGCTATCGTGTTCACCACCCTCAGCGCGTTCTCCTTGTTTTTCTTGATCATCGATAACCGGAGTGAAGTCGACTCCACCCCTTTTGTTGACATTTACCACATCCTTCAGATCTGAACGCACAGACTCGAGCGGACTGAAATTAATTCCGCCCCTCTTGCTTGTATCACCGATCGACTGATATTCCTCGTCACGGCGTTTTTGCACCACCGACTCAGTCTCACTCGACACTGTTGATGACGTATCCCTAGGAGAGTTTTGTTCAGGTGTTTGATCGGATCTCTTCTCAATGAGAATAAATTTCGCCGTATCACCTCTACGATGCTTCCTGTTACTCTTACTCGACGACTTGCTCGTGTAAGTGTTATAACTGATAATGCTCGTCCCCTGTGAATAAACACTCGCCGTCCTTTCGTTATTTTTGAGAATCAATGGATAAGATGACACCATTATTGAAATTTCACATTTACCTCGGAGGCACTTTCTTTCGTGCA